TCAAAACCACAATGAGATACCATCTCACACCAGTTAGAATGGCAATCGATTAAAAAGTCTGGAAACAACAGGTGCTGGAGAGGATGTGGAGAAATAGGAACACTCTACACTGTTGGTTGGCTGTAACTAGTTCAACCATTGTGGAAAACAGTGTGGCGATTCCGCAAGGATCTAGAACTGGAAATACCATATGAACCCAGCCATACCATTACTGGGGATATACCCAAAGGATTATAAGTCATGCTGCTATAAAGACACATGCACACATATGTTTACTGTGGCGCACTTATTCACAATAGCAAAGACTTGGAATCACCCCAAATGTCCCATCAGTGACAGACTGGATTAAGAAAATGTGCACATAATACACCATGGAAACTATGCAGCCATAAAAAAGGATGAGTTCGTGTCCTTTGTAGGGACATGATGCAGCTGGAAACCATCAATTCTCAGCAAACGATCAGCAAGAACAGAAAACACAAATACCACATGTTCTCACTCATAGGTGGGAATTGAACAATGAGATCCACTTGACACAGAAGGGAGCATCACAACCGGGTCCTATTGTGGAGAGGCTAGTGGGGAGGGATAGCGATTAGGAGATAAACCCTAATATAAATGACGATGTTAATGGGTGGCAGCACACCAACATGGCACATGTATACATATGTCAACAAACCTGCACGTTGTGCACATGTACCCTAGAACTTAAAGTATAAAAAAAATTTTAAAACATCCGTTCATCCATTCTTTTTTCAAGGTTTTTAGTTTTTTTGCGCTGGTTACGTAGTTTCTCCTTTAGCTCTGAGAAGTTTGATCGACTAAAACCTTCTCTCAGCTCGTCAAAGTCATCCTCCGCCCAGCTTTGTTCCGTTGCTGGCGATGAGCTGCGTTCCTTTGGAGGAGGAGATGTGCTCTGATTTTTTGAATTTCCAGCTTTTCTGTACTGCTTTTTCCCCATATTTGTGTGGTTTTATCTGCCTTTGGTCTTTCATGATGGTGACGTGCTAATGGGGTTTTGGTGTGGGTATCCTTTCTGTTTGTTAGTTTTCCTTCTAACAGTCAGGACCCTCAGCTGTAGGTCTGTGGGAGTTTGCTTGAGGTCCACTCCAGACCCTGTTTGCCTGGGTATCAGCAGCGGAGGCTGCAGAAGATAGAATATTGCTGAACAGCAAGTGTTGCTGTCTGATTTTTGCTCTGGAAGCTTCGTCTCAGGGGTATATCCCACCGTGTGAGGTGTGAGGTGTCAGTCTGCACCTAGTGGGGGATGTCTCCCAGTTTGGCTACTCAGGGGTCAGGGACCCACTTGAGCAGGTAATCTGTCCATTCTCAGATCTCAACCTCCGTGCTGGGAGATCCACTGCTCTCTTCAAAGCTGTCAGACAGAGGCATTTACCTCTGCCAAGGTTTCTGGTGCTTTTTGTTTAGCTATGCCCTGTCCCCAGAGGAGGAGTCTACAGAAGCAGACCGGCCTCCTTGAACTGCAGTGGGCTCCACCCAATTCTAGCTTCCTGGCAGCTTTGTTTACCCACTTAAGCCTCAGCAATGGCAGGCGCCCCTCCCCCAGTCTCACTGCCGCCTTGCAGTTAGATCTCAGACGCTGTGCTAGCAATGAGGGAGGCTCTGTGGGCATGGGACCCTCTGGGCCAGGTGTGGGATATAATCTCCTGGTGTGCCATTTGCTAAGACCCTTGGTAAAGCACAGTATTAGGGTGGGAGTTACCCGATTTTTCAGGTGTTGTGTGTCTCAGTTTCCCTTGGCTAGGAAAAGGGATTCCCTTCCCTGTTGCACTTCCCAGGTGAGAGGCGATGCCTCGCCCTGCTTCAACTCTCACTGGTCGGGCTGCACCAGCTGACCAGCACCGATTATCCGGCACTCCCCGGTGAGATGAACCTGATACCTCAGTTGAAAATGCAGAAATCACCCGTCTTCTGTGTCACTCATGCTGGGAGCTGGAGGCTGGAGCTGTTCCTATTCGGCCATCTTGGGCGTGCCGCCCTATTTGCATTGTTTTAAAGTCTGCCACTGTAACATTTATTTTCCCATACTTTTCAAACAAGGAAAGGCATGGATAAGAGTTCTTAGTGGTAATAGTTAATTCCTCAATTCTAAAATACCGTACTTAATAGGATTTGAGGGAGAAATAAAACATTATCCCAGTAAATTTTTCCTCATTGATGTCAATTTTAAATTTAAAAATGTTACACTATGTGAAAAAAGCATTTCTTAGGATGACAGTTAAGTATACCTATATGTGATCATCATTGATTGACATTAAATCTGTTGTTCTTGATAATGAAGAATAAAGGTTCTCTCCATTTCATATTATTGTCTAATTACATATTTTAAGTAGTTACATGTATTTGTTTGGGAAAAAAGGTGGTTTTTCTCCCAGTCATGTACTTCAGAATTTAGTTTCAAAACTATTTTCTTTCTACCAAAAATATTTCTGAAATGAGGCTTTATTGTACCATTACTATTTAACATTAAGATTGATGTTGAAGTACAGAGTTGCTTAAAAGATGGTGAGTATACAGCCTGGTGTGGTGGCTCACGCCTGTAATCCCAGCACTTTGGGAGGCTGAGGTGGGCAGATCACAAGGTCAGGAGATCGAGACCATCCTGGCTAACACAATGAAACCCTGTCTCTACTAAAAAAAATAGAAAAAAATAGCTGGGCATGGTGGCATGCGCCTGTGGTCCCAGCTGCTCGGGAGGCTGAGGCAGGAGAATTGCTTGAAAACCTTGAGGTGGAGGTTGCAGTGAGCCGAGATTGCACCACTGCACTCTAGCCTGGGTAACAGAGCGAGACTTCGTCTCAAAAAAACAAAAAAAGTGGTGAGGTGAATATATACAAAGTATGAGGTTGCAAACCAAATGTATATGATGTCAGAGCATAACTAATTTAAAATATGTGTGTAAATATGTAAAATAAAAGGCTAGAGGAATATATGGATAGTGAGATTGTGAATAGTTTTAAAGTTTTTCTTTTGTAGTCTTCTCTTTTCTGTTTGTTTTTAAAACAGTGAACTTGCATTAATTTCATACTATGAAAATAATAAAACAATTTTGATAGTTAATATTGGATTAGAAAAGATTGTATCTGAATATATTTTGCTGCCTAATTTGCTTAACTTTTTCCCAGCTGACAGTATATGTATTTTAAGGTGTATGTATTTTAGATATGATTGAATAGGGAATGATTAATTATTAGAACAGAAAAATACAGTATTCAGAATTCTAACCTAATTTTCTTTTTCTTCCATGTACTACTAGAGACACAGTCCAGTAAGTACAAGATTTTATATTTTTTCCCATTGACTTAAAATCATTGTAATTTTTGAGGATTGACTTTCAAAATATTTGTATTAAATTTTCAGATTAGCAAGTTTTAGTGTTTTGCTGTAGATATTGCTTTAATATTTTAAAAACATTAGGTGTTAAAACTACATGTATTACTTTTTACTGTAAAACAAAAACTACTGACAGTTTTTTCTCTATATCTTTTATGTAAATAGACTTTACAATTGAGCAGATATACTAAAAACGATGTAAAATTCGGTTCCTAGTATTAACATTTTACCAAATATTTCATTATCAAATTAATTTGTTTCATGGTACCTATTTTGCATCTCTGTTTTAGGTACAGATGAATCGGAATTTGTCTAGTAAGTATGACATTTGAATTGCTTATTTTATGTCTATTAAACTTTATAAGGCAATTTGTTAATCTTTTACCCTTATGTAGCTGTAGAAATAAATGATCTTTTCTCATCATGAACCCTGCTGAATGGCTAGAAGGACAATTATTTTAAATAGAAAACAACATACCTATATTATTTCCTGTAGAGCTGAGAGACATGCTTTAAACTTTAATACATGGCTACAACATTTTTCAGAAATCACCAAAGCCAAAAAGTAACTTCTGATTAAGAATGTTAAACGGTTTCACTGGCATTCTGTGTCTTATAAACTAGAAGACATTTCATTTATAAGATGAGTAATATTGAGCTTTCCCTATTTTTAAGTTATGTCACAATTACAAATTCGATTATAAATTTAATTATACTAAAAACGTAATGATACTAAAAACTTTTCTAGGGTGCTAATACCTTTTGCAGAATCATGCATTAAAAATAACAAAGAGTCGTGGGAAAAATAGTTGAAGCAGCCCACTCAAAAGCTATGTACTTTTGTTAACAGAATACTTAACAAAAACTTTAACATCAGTCTTAATAAAAATTCTAACACAGTTTAAAAGACCTAGTAAATTAATAATAAATACCAAAATAAATAAAAGTAAGGATTTTATCTTTAAAGAAATGTTGATGGTAGCTTAATGATAGGGGGTGTGAGGAAAATGAGGATAAATGGAGGGTGCTGAGTTGTGGAGATGAGAGCAAAATGCAGAAATATTGAAGAATAGCACAGTAAACACTGAGGCAAACCAACCAACCAAACTGAGCCAAGTGAAAAATGTAGAGTGAATGGGTATCATGTACTGTGATACTCCTCCATAGTTTGTGGAAGTTACTCATATTGATATACTTTGCATCAGGTATTGCTTGGTGATGCAAAGAAAACATGAAGGTGCAGGAAAAATTGCTTATGCACCAATGTGAGTTTTGCATTAATGATGCTATTCCCCTGTTTACCACTTGCTTGTGAAATGAGGCACGTTACAAATGCAAAAGGTAGCAAAACGAACTATCTTATAAAGAGATTTGCTCCAGCTTGCTATAAGATTCTTAATTTTTCAAAAGATGACATCCTCAAGAGTTAATAACTACTTTTTGTCAATGTAATAATCACTAATAGTATTCTTAGAACTTGAAAAATGCATTCATGGTTCATCAATTAAAATTCTTAAATAGAATTTATGTATTTAAACATTTTTCTTATTTTTAAAGTTGCAACCCATATTTTCTCTTTTCTAAACAGCAATTTTAATGACTATCATAGTTTAATTGACTTAAGTAATTTCTTACTAAAGGTATTAGAAGAAATCAGGATTTAGTAGTTTCAGTTATTTTAATGTACACAATAGAAAACTTGTTAAAATCTTAATTTACTTTTTCTTCATTATTGTTTGTATTTACATTATCAATTCCAAAATTTTTAATTGTCATAGTGTTATGTGTATAGAGTTTCTCTTTTTCATTAAAATATTTTATTTCTCAGATTATGAAGTTTTCATAATATTTTAATTTTTTAATTAGATGAGGAGTTAACAAAATCAAAGCCATCTGCTCCACCCAATGAGTAAGTTTCCATGTTTAATTCTTTTTAAAAAATAGACTTTATTTTTTAGAGCAGTGTTTGATTCATGGCAAAATTGAATGGAAAGCACAGAGATTTCCCTTTATGCTCCCTGCCGCTTCATATGCCCAGTCTCTCTCACAGTCAGATTCTCTCACCAGAGTGGTACATTTGTTACAATCAGTGAACCTGCATTGATTGACACATCATAATCACATAAAGTCCACAGTTTACATTAGGGTTCATTCTTGGTGTTGGACAAATGCGTGAGGACATGTATTCATCATTATAGTATCATACAGAGTATTTTTGCTGCCCTGAAAATCTTCTGTGCTCCACCTTTTCATCACTTCTTCCACACACTTACATTTTAAGTATCCTTTTGTCCTTTTTTCTAGAGTTTTATTAGCTCTATAGTTTTAATTCCCGTAAAGTTTTGTTAATCATCCTGTTTTCTGAGTTGTCAAATGCCCTGTTGGAGTTTTTAGAAGTTTAAATTTATTTCTCATTTGGTAATATGTCCTTTTACAATAAGAAAGAAATCCATTTAACCACAGTTGGCCTTGGTAGCCTCACTACTTCTAAATAAATGATGAAACCCTAAGTTCATACATATCTGTATTTCAGCTGTTTAGTCTCATGGGAATTTTCTCATTTCTTTCTTCAGTTTTGACTGTGACCTTATAAAATAATATACTTCATAAGCTTCAAAACAGAGAAGTGTCTCAAGTTGAAAAGGGAGAGAGAGGCCAGAAGGCATGTTGCCAGCTCTTCTTAAAAAAAAAAAAAAAAAAAAAAAGCCAATGTTGGATGGGTCTCTTTTTACTTCTGTGTCCATCAGTAAGAATACTGTCTTTGAGTTAATGGTTTTTTGCTTGTCTGTTTTGAGACAGGGTCTTATTCTGTCTCTCAGGCTGGAGTGCAGTGGCGTGATCATGGCTCACTGCAGCCTTAACATCCCAGGTTCAAACAATCCTCCCACCCCTGCCTCCCAGCTAATTTTTTTCGAAAAAGATACTGGGTCTTGCTATGTTTCCCAGGCTGGTCTTGAACTCCTGGACTCAGACTCCTGAGCCTCCCAAAGTGTTGTGATTACAGACGTGAGCCATCAAGCCTGGCCAGAGTTAATGTAAAACACAAGTAAAAGTAGGCTTAATTAAATAGGTAGTTTACAATTATTTGATACTTTTGAGGTACTAATTGAGCACAGTGGTGGTATTTATTGGATGTATCATTTTTAAAGATAAGTTGTTGAGTGTTTTAAAACTGTTTTTAGGAATCATGCAGTTGAAATGCTAGGCTTTATTGTACGAGGTGTAGTGTGCTTTCATGTAGGTGCATGTTGAGATGCTGGATATGTACTCTTAGATAATTACAGCACTTCATTATAGAGGGCCTGTTTTTTTGTGTAAGATTTCCTAAAAATTTTTAAAATAATGGCAGTTTGATACATTAAAATATGTAAGCCATCTTTCTGTACTTAAGGGCTTAAAAAAATCACTTTACCCTTTTTCTTCATCTTTGAAAATAAGTATGGCCTTATAAAATTTTAACCCAATTTTATACCACTTAAATTTTCTGTTCAGGATTGGGTGCTGTGTGTGAACCAGCAGACCTGAGCCTGTTTTAGAATCAAGTAGCTATATGTCTTTGGGCAGTTCATTTAGACGTGTGCTGCTCTTTTTTATATGTAAAGCTGAAATTATTATTCCCATTATGACAGCCCCCAAGGTTGTTGAGTCTAACAAGGCATGATGAATGGGAATTAATCTTCCCCATTCTCCTCTGCTAACTTCACATGCTATCTTAGGTTATGCTTCTAACAAATATTGGCTGTTAAATCTGTTAATTAATTTCTACACATATACTACTGGTAGAGTATCCAACTTTTAAATTAAAAAAAATATTTTTTTTAGGGACAGGGTCTTGCTTTGTTACCCAGGCTGGAGTACAGTGGTGCAATTATAGCTCATTGCAGCCCAGAACTCATGGGCTCAAGTGATCTTCCTTAGCCTCCCAGATAGCTAGGACTACAGGCATGCACCACCATGCCTGGCTAATTAAAAAAAATTTTTTTTATAGATACTGAGTCTTGCTATGTATGTTGCCCAGACTTGATCTTGAACTCCTAGTCTCAAGTGATCCTCCCGCGTGAGCCTCCAAAACTGTTGGGATTATAGGCATGAGCCATGGTGCCTGGCCCCAACTTTTTAATTATGTTTATTGAGCTGTTAGAATTCTTTCTATAGAATTATTTTACAAATAAGTGACTAGAAATGTTATACTAATAAAATATTCTTTTGTTAAAATTTTTACTTTTAAAATATTATGGTAGAAAAGGAACCAGTGATTTACTTGCTTGGGACCCCCTATTTGGACCATCTCTTGATTCATCTTCATCTTCACTAACTTCATCATCATCAGGTAAATATATATATGTATATATATATATGGTTTTTTTTTAAGTATAAGGAATACTTTAGTTGCTTTTTCTCATTCACTTTTTATGCGTTGTTCTTAATGATCAAAATTTCTGAAAATTTGTCATCTGTATTGCCAAATAAAAGTGATTTTATTTTGGTTTTGTTCTCTTAGATACTCTATGACTTAACAATAAATGTGTAAAATACTAAGTGTTTTTTTAAATTGCCGTGTTTATTTCTAGGCATTTTATATCATTATCCAAATAATAATTCTTATTGTTTATAGATAATTCAAATACAAAATACCTATCAATGTTCTTTCTTGATGGAAGTTTAAGTTGCATCTAATTTTCTAGTATTATGAACATTCATAGAAATAACAAATTTTGTGCATATATCTCAATATGCTTGTAATAATTTATCAATTTAAAACTTACGGGTTACAAGATGATGTCCATGATACTTACTGCCAAACTGCTTTCTGGAAAGGCTTTAACACTTCCCAAGCAGTTTATGAAAGAAGTTGATAAATGCTTTTTAGTTGTTTTGGCAAGAATATATTAAGTTTCTCTTTTCATTAGTCAAACAGCAGGCATCAAAAATGTATGTTTAATAAAACCACTGCTTGTTCAAAACAAGAAAATAAAATCAATTTTAATTGATTTTCTACTCTCTTCTCTGGGACTAAAGAATTGCCATCCAGTATTTGGGGTTAAGGAAGCCCTGGAATCATGGGGCAAGAACTTAAATCTGTCTAGTTCATGCTAGGTAATTTTGTTAGGAGTGCCACACATTCTATTTAATTTTACCACATTAACAGCTGCATGAAGTTGTTTTTGTTGTCCCTGTTTTATAGATGAAAAAAGTAAAGCTCAGAGATAATAAGTAACTTCTCCAAGTTTTATGTAGCTAGTAAATGATGAAGACAAGTTTCAAACCTGGCTCTTACTTATTCTAAAGCCATTGTTTTGTCTATCACACTTTAGCAGATTAACAGCAACAACAAAAAAGCCATGTTGAAATATCTTACTATTAAAAATTAAATATTGGTTTTTAAAATTAGACTGTTTAGAAACAAAATATTTTTAAAAGAAACTATAAGTGGATTATAAGAAACCTTAACTCTAAACACTAAATGCTATTTGACCGTTTGAAGGGAAAGTAATCTGTACTTAATACTTGTAAAACAGCAAGAAACAGTCAATAGAAGGTAGTTGAACATAATCTGAAGTGGCTTTATAGCCTTTTTCATTGAGCATTTATTACTATTTAGTATTATAAAATTAACCTTATATATGTATTATATAAGGAAAGTAATTGTACAGGAAAACCTGATGTTGTTGCCAAATCTCTCTTTTGTTTAGTAAAAATGTCGGAATGGTATTATGCATTTAGAATAAGGAGTTCTCAGCAGTATTTTCAAATTTTATTAATATCCCATTATGAATAAAATTTTTCAGATTGGTATCACAGAGGTTTTAGTTATATAGAAATTTCTTCATAATTCTGCTCATTGTTTCTTGATATTTTCTCTAGTATAGTCTCTTTCTTTTTATAAAAGTACTCTTTCTTCCTTTTGCTACTTGTCTAAAGATGGCTCATATCACCATCACTTCAGGTAAAAAATTGTTCGTTTTCATTTAGTGGTCATTAATGTTTGGCCGTTAAGAAATGATACAATATTTATTAACTTTTTGCTGGTTTTAAAATTCACTTCAGTATGCATTTTTAAATCTTCCTATATAGTATGAAAAGTAATATTATAAATTTTGCCTTTCAAAAAAATGTTAGTGATGCTCAAAATAGATAGTTATCCTGTTATATAGTAATTACTGTTAAGTCTTCACTTGAACAGAATATAATTATTGATCAAACTAATTCATAATTGGGATTATCCTGTTTTACAGAACTGGTCCTAAGTGAAGTTATGAAATAGGCATTTTATCTGAAATTTTTATTTCACTTATTTTTATGTTTTCTTGGTACTCGCTAGTTACAACAAGTCTTAAATTTTGTCCCACCATTCTTTGCAATGCACTTCTCTCCCATCTTAACATCCTCTACCCAGGTACCCATTTTAACATTTTAGCAAGGTCCAGGTTGTGAGATCATTCCCTACTCTCCTGTTTGTCTTTCAGAATCTTAATTCATCACTGACCTCATCTTAAAGCAGGCTAAAAAATAATTTCAATCAATCAGTTAATAACTGATAATTAAGCATCCCAGTGTTGTTACATGTTTTAAAATGTTGATTAGGGCTTGGCTGAAAAGTAGTTTCAGTTGCATCTTATACCATGTAGACTATAAATAAGCATTCATGTTTATGTCAGATATGAATATATGTAAACATCAATATATGTATTTTTAAAAATTTAACACAAATATCTTACACTTACCTCCCCTTTGGTAAGTGCCAGACTGTTTTCTCTGCCCATGAATTAATTGAACTCTTGTGCTCGCAAAAAAACAAAAACAAAAACCTTAAAATTATTTTTTGAAAAATATTGGGCTGTTTTTAAATATTAACTCGAACATTGATGTATTCCGATGTAGTTCCTGGGGCAGTTTTATCACAGGACAATGATGAACTTTGTTGAGTACCACGCATACACAGCATTATTGCTTTGCCACCTTGTCAAATCTTTTTAGATCTTGTACTGACTGTAAATAGTTACCTTTGCTCCTCTGGGAAAACAGGAATAACTCTGACTTTATGTAATTTTGGACCTTCAGTTTTTCATATGCATTTTAAGTTTCTAATGTACATACTTGTTTTCTTCAGTTAATGTAGTTTGAACTTATGCTCTTCTTCTGTGTATTATTAAATTTTCTAGTTTCAAATAATTAAAACAAGATAACTTTTTGGCTATATGGATTTATATTTTAGTTCTAGAATTTTCCTGTTGCTTCTAGTTTTTTGTTTTGTTCTTATTCATCTGACCTTACAGAGCAGAGTAGGAACTTCACTTCCTTTCTCACTGATTTTCCTGGGTGTGTGATAATTGAACATTTACTTGAAACCCGGTCAGATTCTGAGTCTAGAAAGTCCATCACCAGACTTTTCCCCAAAATCTCTACTTTATTCTGCTGTAACAGCACCACTAGAGAGCACAGATAAAGTTCCTTTTGCTTCATGGCCGTGAAGTCAGTGGATTTTCTTTACTGATGAACTTGTTGCAATTAATAGCTCCAGTGCTGCTCAGAAGGCATTCCAGAGATTGCATTGTAAAGCTGAAAATACTTTTAGGTTTCCTAATGCTTTGGATGGGATTTCTTCCAACAGCTGCATTTCTGAGGATCACAGTGACCTTTGCCTAATATTACATGTTTTGAAAATGTACCTACAGAAGCAGCTAACAGTGCTGCTGCTATTTCTTCTACATCATCATTATTGCTTCTAGATTCTAGATTAGTTTCCACTTTTGTTCAGATAAAGAATGGTATGGCAAGCATGCTTTGTCTATTCACTTTAGTTAATGTCTGAGGGCAGATATAGAGTAGCCCTTATCGCCAATGTTTTTTTATACTTCACAGGTCAATTCATATTTCTTGAAACACTGCCTCTAATAGAAATTTGTAGCAGTGAGCTCCACCCCACCACCAGCAAAAAATAAAACATAGGACACTGAAGAATGTAAACAATTGCAGTTATCTCCTTCAGAGGCTTCTAGAAGCAGTGCCTAATTGACCTGTGCAGATATAATATAGATTCATTTATAAACAGTGGTGTTAATAAGTATTGTTATTAGCTTTTCTCAAAAAGCAAATTTTGACTGAACTTACTACTTCTACCAGGCTTGGTTTGAGTCGATATAAATGCCGTTTGGACAGGCCACTTGATAGTAATAAATGCCTCTGCTGTGTAAACTCTCTCACAAGTTTGAAATAACTTAACATAGGCTAGTGCTGGTTTCATTGATAATGAACATATCTTTAAAGTAGACATGTAATACACAGGGAGGTGTTATGGGCCTCAGATTTTTGTGCACATTTCTTCCAGTGTACAGCTTCAAGTGTTTGTGTAGCATGAAAGAACGGGAACTGACTGGAAAAAAACAGTGGCCTCAGAATCTAAGCTTGATTTACCAGCTTTTTTATTTTCCTTAAGCAACCTGAACAGCGCTTGCATCTTTTATCTCTTATTATGGTATGCTTTCTAAGTGATTCCCTACCTCTCATGCATGTACAACTTTCAATCCTGTGTGACTACCTTTTTCTTTAGGTCTCTTCCTACTACCTCTATGCGTGTTCCTTTCATGCCTCCTTGATTCCTCCATTGATGATTAAAGGCCTTCAGCTTTGCAGTTTATTTCCCCATGTGTATACTTAGGCCCACTTATTTATTTTTAATTTTGTACATCTCTAAAGTTTGAAAACATACTGAATATATTTCTTTCTACCCATTATATTTTTCAGTCTCTGAATTATAGCCTGTATTTTAGTGTGAACCAAAGGGCTTTGAAAATCATTTAATTTATTAATGATTATTAAACATGACTTTTAAGAGGGTTTAAACCTATTTACTTCCATTTTTTTACTCCTGCTTTGATTATGCTAATACGTTTGTGACTTTTGATGATGTATACATTGACATTTATCCAGTAATTTACATTGTGATGAGATTAAGAATACAGATATTTCTGACTTGTAAAATTAGCAAATGGCATTGAAAACTCAACACCAAATTTATATAGGACTTAGGAACAATTTAAGATATTATTTTGAACACTTTCCAAAGTTAACTGTAGTGATTTGGGGAATTTTTTTTTTGTAAACTAATAGAATATCTAATTATTTCAAATAATGTTACCCACCAAAATGTTACAATGTGGTTCAACTTAAAAGTTAAATTTAATAATTTTAATTAAGGTAAGTATTTTATTTAGAGTTTACAATATTATTCTGGAGGTACAGCTTCAGAACCTTTTGGTCTGGAATTACTATCTGTAAAATAGATGTATTGGCAATAAACAAATGACCTTTGACCTAAAATTGGTTTGTTCTCATCAGCTAATATATCAGATTTAATTTTTATATGTGTAGATAATTGAAACAGGAATAAAATTTATATGTGTCAGTTATTGAAGGGTTAACTTTTTTCCAGGAATATTACTGGTCACTTCAAAATAAAACATATTTGATAGATTCCCAGTATTTCAACATCTGTGATTACATCTAAAAAAAGAGCCTCCTGAAAAATGAGCTTTGATTACCAACAGTTTCTTTATAATAGAATGTCTTTATGTAAGGATTGCTGCATACTAATGATTTTCTTCAAATTCTCTTTTTCCCCTCAACCAGCCAGGCCCACAACTCCTCTTTCTGTAGGCACCATTGTCCCACCTCCGAGGCCTGCTTCCAGACCAAAGCTTACTTCAGGCAAACTCAGTGGGATTAATGAAATAGTATGTACTCAGGTTTTTAAAAAATTATATAACTGTTTTGATTTAAGATGCAAATGATATTTTTCTATATGCCCTTTTAGTTAATTGCTTAAAGTTTTCTACCCACATCCTCATAGTATAGAAAAATTTTCCCGGCTAATGCTTCCTTTTCTTTTCCTTATTACCTCAGTGATCATACCTGTGAAACAGGACATTGTCCAGGAGGAAACAGATTTCCTGAGAAAGTTGGCACATTATAAGACTACCATTCAGTATCCATTGTCTCACAATAAAGAAGCAGTTTTCATATAATTCTACTTAAAGTCAAATGTTAAGGAAGTAAATGGTGGCTTGTTCTTAGACCTTAAAAGTATATACTGCAAGGAGGATCATGGAAGGCATCTAAGCTCGGCATTTAAAATTTTACACATAAGGAGACTGGAGTCCACATCATCCAGTTGACTTATAAAAGTACATGCGTGGGTGGGAAATCCTTGGTTTTTAAAAGTCATCAGATAGAGAAAATCTATAGACTCTATTCAGTGAGGCTCTCCCAAACCAGTTTACTTGCCGTTGATCTGGTTTGCTTTGCTTCGTCTTCTACACTAATTGCCAGTTTAATAACCAGAATTAAATTTTTAAGTCCAGTTTAATCTTTTTTCCCTTGATACACATTTCCAGTGGTTTCTCGGTCTGTATGGTTGAATGTTTTAGCTGAATGTACAAGAGTCTTTATAAAGCTGCCTCAACAACCTATACTAACTGTCCATCTTTCTCCCCTTTTCAGCCTAGATTCCAGCCACTTGAAACTTTTCAGTGTTCCTCAAACACATCATGCTCTTTCACATGTCCATGTCTTCCTCCTGTGCTCTATCTCAGATGCCCCTCAGTTTTCTATGTTGACCTCTTTCTTTAAGACCTAGCTAAATATCGCCACCTAGGCAAAGCCCTCTTTGATCATTCCTTCACTTCTCTTCCTTATACCCAGATACTTTGTTTATATTTCTGTTAGTTCACATATCACCTTGTATGTACTTTTTGTGTGTGTGTTATCCTTACTGGCCTATGCCTTCGTCGGTCTCGTATCCTCAGTACTTTGCATGATGCCTGTTGGGTGGTACACAGTTATGAAATGTTCAGTGAATATATTGAAAAGCTTTGGCACCAGATATTGAAATGGTGTTATCTTTCTTTTCCAAATGAACAGACTTAGTGGAAGTGAAATGAAAGACTAGGTGCAAGCTGCCAAGGAGAAGATTAATATTTAAGTAATACAGAAATTACTACATTTTAAAATACTTCATTCTCTTTTTTAAATCAAGTTATGACTAGAACTTTAAGTACATTTTAATAAATTGATTTTTTTCCTGATTGTAAAAACAGGAAATGATCATGTTGTAAAATTTGGAAAACAGAGAAAGCAAAGAAAGAAAATTATAAATTTCCTCTGTATTTCACCACCCAAAGATAACTACTGTTAACATTTTTTGGAATGCGTGTTTATCCAGAGGCAGTAAAATACAGTTACAAGTACTAGCTTATTAGCCACTTATTAGCTGAGCAACATTAAGCAGTTATTTAATCAGAGTTTAGTTGCCTCATGGATAAAATATGTGTAATGATACTAGGTTGTGAGACTTAAATGAGTTAATACATGTAAAACAGTACATTGTTGAATGCAAATAGTTGCTCAAAAAGTTATTAATGGTATAGGCATATTTTTAAATAAAAAGTCATACTTTACATATTTCTAATTTGTTTTCCACTTGCAAGTATATAATTCAAGAATAATCATGAATTATTGTTTGATTATAATTTTATTTATAGAATTAGGGGATACAAGTGCAGATTTATTATATGCATATATTGCATACTGGCAGAATGTGGGCTTTTGGTGTACCCATTAACTGAGTAGTGAATATCGTACCCAACAGTACCCAACAGGTACTTTTTCTATCCCTACCCTTTTCCCATCCTCTGACCTTTTGTAGTCTTCACTCTCTATTATTCCACTTTATATGTCCATGTGTAACCTTTGTTTAGCTCCCACTTATAAGTGAGAACATGAGGTATTTGACTTTCTGTTTCTGAGTTATTTCACTCAGGATAATGGCCTCCAGTTCCATCCATGTAGCTGAATGAATTATTCTTATTTTATAGTCTTCAGGCTTCTTTGAAGTGATAGAATCTTTTGCCAAATAACTTTAAATTGTAAGTATTAATATATTAAAATAAAGTGGGACTCATAGTTGAATCCTTCACATCATCCCCCTATCACCATACACCACCCTCTCCCCATCCTTGAGAGCTTTCTAGAAACCACCCTCTGAGCTTCAGGGAGCACCATTTTAAGTGGCTACAGAGTATTTCAATATATGAGTGCTCTGTCTTCTACCCTGTTGTCAGAATTAAATTTCTAAAAGTTTTCAGAAATTTATTTAACATTTAGTTTCATGTTTCTGTTATTATAAACGATGTCTTAATGACTATCCTTATGGTTTCTAGCATTCATTTTTTTAATAAAAGAATTTAAAAGTGTAATTTATGAACTAAACTCTATGTACATTTTTAAGACTCCTGATAATTATTTCTGTATTGCCCACCAGAGAGGTTATGTTGATTTAAATTTTCTCCAGCTGTACACTGGAGTGCCTTTTTTGTTTTTTTTGCGTGCTCATATGTGCATTTTTCTGGAGAGAGCTCATAGCTTTCACCAGATGCTCAAAGGATTCTATAACCACATCCTGCCTACCCACTGAAAGAACCACTCGTTGTTCTAGAGCAGGGGCACCCAAAGTGCAGTACCAGATCAGTAGCATTAGCATCACCAGGGAATTTGGTAGAAATAGTTTCTCTGGCTCCACCCCAGGCAAATCGGAAATTCAGGGGAGAGGCCCAGCAACTGTGTATTATTAACAAGCCCTCCATGCGATTCTGATGCATGCGAATGTTTCAGAAACATTGTTTTAAAGCAATGCTGTCCAACAGAAATATAATATAAGCAACATATAATTTAAAATTTTCTAGTAGCCACATAGAAAAACAGTGAAATTCATTGTAATGTATTTTATCTGCTATATAAAAATATTATTTTAACACATTCAATTATAAAAATGAGATTTTTACATTCCTTTTGTGTGTATGCCGTGTCTTCAAAATTTACTTTGTGTGTTATAGCACATCTCAATTTGGACTAGTTACATTTCACGTGCTATTGGCCACTGTAGTAGATAGCATAATTCTAAAATTAGAGAAAACCACTTGAGAAAAGAGCTGTTTTTGCCTTTACCTAAAAAAAAAAATTAAAAAGGCAGTCACATTGTATTGGCCTTGAGGTTATGTTGCCATAGGAGAAATGTCCCACAGTAGTTGATCTCAAGACTTTTTCCAAGCTTATGAGTTTCAGACTAGCTGTTGATCGGTATCTGTTCACTCCAATGTCCTATACCACCTTGGTGTGCATATATATACAGCTGCATTTTTAGCATCCTGCTGAATTTTTTCAACCTATTGTCCATCATAATGAGTCATCAAAAAGCTGTACTCTGGAAAAAATAAATGTTAAATTGGTGGGGGGTTACAAATTATAAAACACTTTTTGCAGTAAAATGACAGTTTTATTAAAATGAATATCTGTAAGTTTATATTCATGCAATGAAGAGTTGACTAGTGTATGAATGCAAGTAGAGTTTTGTTTTTACCTTTTTTTTTCCATGTTCCTCAAATAACTGAGGACAGTTATCTTTCTTGTTCACAGCTTTGTATCTAGTACCTAATCCAGGGTCAGACACATAGTAGGCACTAAATAAATATCTACTTGCCTAATACTTTTGTAAGCAGGAAAAGGTTTTTTTTTTTTTTTTTAAATGAAGACAAATATGCCTACTTTTTAAGAAAGCAAAACACCTCAGGAAGTGTTGCTGATGAATTATTGGTACAGTTAGGAACTTGGAAGGAAAAAAGTCCGTTCACCAAAGTAAAAGATAAATGAATTGGAGTTATATTTTTTATATTTGTTTTATGTTTAATTAGAAAATTGGGAAGACAACAGAATTGAGTCTCTCTAACCTTTGTATGGAGTGAGTTTTCACAGTAAGGAAACATTACAAGGAATTACTGAGGAAATTGTGATCAGATTTGTAAACACCAAAAGTGTAAAGGACAAGCAATATTTAAGGAAGGAAATATTTGCAAGAAAATAAGGCAAAGCGTTAGTGAAAGCTCAGATAATACTAAAACCTCCCCAAATTACATCAACCCATTCATGAAAGTAAAAGTGAAAGTTTCATTTTTATTTTCCAAATTAGAAAAAAAATTTTAATCCCTTTTTCTTCTGTGACTCATCCATTTGTTTCTGCAAGGGTGTAGAGAAATAATTTTCTCATATTTGTAGTCAGGTAAAGTGAACAACGCTTTTGGGAAGCAGTTTGGGAAGAAGAACATTTATACTGTTTAAACTAATTTAACTTCTGAGAATCTGTCTTAAACATACTTTTTTAAATACAGGAAAATTTTTATGCCCAAAGACCTTTTTTACAGCATTATTTCAAAATAACCTTTTCAGGTTTTAGTATGTTCTTAAAAATGATTTGATATATGGCATCTCTGATACTAAGTTATAAGAAACTCACACAGTAAATTTGGTTTGGTATGTTAAATTTACCTGATAACTTAAAAATCTGCTCTAACAAGAGAGGTATATTGGTTTAGCATTTTGATAAATAACATTTTGTTTTTAAGCCCAGGCCATTCAGCCCACCTGTAACTTCCAACACCAGCCCACCTCCTGCTGCACCATTAGCCCGGGCAGAAAGTTCTTCTTCTATCTCATCATCTGCTTCATTAAGTGCTGCCAATACTCCAACAGTAGGTAAGTGGGTTATCATCAATTACATGTGAAATGTAGTGTACAAAGTATACGTATGCTAAATATGTATATATTTTTAAATGGGCTAATGAAGAATTTAACATTAGAAATTTTGTTTTTCTGGAAACACACCTGTAATTTATTAAACTTTCCACACTTTGCTTTGTTGTTTCACAGTATATGTTGTCTGGATAGAAGAATTTTAACTGTGGTTAGCACCGTTAAGAATGAGTCAAATTTATAAATTGCTGATCAGTGTAAATAGTTGAAGGCAAAACAAAATGCAGTTCTTCCCACTGTGAACTGATTGTTGCATTTCTAAGAAAGTTTATGTTTTAGAAACAATAGTGTTTTGAAAATGATTGAATGAAAGAAAACAGTTTGTGCTTGCAGTGAATTATATTTTTCCACAAGAATTTCAAGACTTAAAAATAGCTCTTAGGGAAGTGGTCCCCAACCTTTGGCACCAGGGACTGGTTTTGTGGAAGACAGTTTTTCTATGGACTGGGGTCAAGGGGATGGTTTCAGGATGATTCAGGTGCATTACATTTATTGTGCACTTTATTTCTATTATTATTACATTGTAATATATAATGAAATAATTATATAACTCACCATAATGTAGAATCAGTGGGACCCCTGAGCTTGTTGTCTTGCAACTAGTCAGTCCCATCTGGGGTGATGGGACACAATGACAGATCATCAGGCATTGGATTCTCTTAAGAGTGCGCAACCTAGATCCCTCACATGCGCGGTTTACAATAGGGTTCTCGCTCCTATGAGAATCAAATGCCACTGCCAATCTGACCAGAGGCAGAGCTCAGGCTGTAATTCGAGTGATGGGGTGGAGGCGGTTACTGTAAATACAGATGACATTCACATTCATCTCCTCCTGTGTGGCTGAGTACTAGACTGTGGCCTGGGGATTGAGCATCCCTGTCTTAGGCATAGCTATATGAACCTAAACCTCACCAAACAAATTCAGTATTTTACTACATCTAGACTTTGCTCAAGAGTTTTTTTTTGTCATCACTTCTCAGTTTTTTCCTACAAATTCTTACTACCTTTTTCACCCATTGTTAAGATAATAAAGCACAAAGCCAGTTAGACAAAGCAGCTGTGTTGCAGGAGCAACAGCTTCTCATAAAAATTATAATTGTATTTATTGCTGCTGGTTTAGGTAGTGATGGGTTTATTCTTGATAATGCAAATCACTGATTTGCACTAACTGAGCACTAATTCAGTAACGGTCAAAGTGTGGTCCTTGGACCTGCAGCATCTGCGTCACCTGGGTACTTCTTAGACATGTAGACTTTTAAAATCAGAAACCCTGGAAGTGGAACTAGCAATAGTTTAATAGGCATTCCAGGTGATTCTGATGCATGCTAAGTTTGATAACCACAGCCCTAATTAAGCTGATTTAATTCCAGTTAATTTGTCAAGGCTCACATAGGAGAAAAGCAACTTGTGTGTGGCCATTGTAAAAAGAGGATAAGTAATATAGGCTAGAATGAAATATAAAATGGTTTGGTTTCTAAATGTCTAAACGTGATGTCACCATCTTGTTACCTTTGTGAACACAGCATTTTTCCCATCTTTTAATTTTATATAAACTGAATATGTCTAGCAAGTTTGTTCTTTTATTTGGTTTAATGAATACTTCATTTTTATTTTTTGTTTGGTTTTAATTTTTTTCCCACAGAATCTGTATTTTAGTCCTAAAAATCCTAATTGGGACCTACTAGAAATCAGGCAGGTGGTCTGGGTAACCTTCTTTTTGCTTTAGTTCCCCCCCCCCCATTATCTTTAGATTATTCAGGAGGTTTTTTGTTTGTGATAGAAACTAATTTCTATTGAATTGGTACATATTTGTTTATGGTTTGAGCCAGTGCTGGCAATAGGACAATCAAAAGCAGGTGACAGTGAGAATACAGGCAAGGCAGGTTTTATGTGAATTTTATACAACAAAGATTTTTAAAATCTACCTAAAAAGTTCTCTTTCTTTGCCATGAGTTTTCAACGCTGTTAAGATTTAAGTTTCTAATTCTCCTTGTTTCTTGAAAATGTTTTCTTTTTCTGCATTATTTTGTTTTATTTAAATACAATAGAAGATGATAATTTGATTGGGACACACTCTGAAATTGAAAAGCACTGTGAGACGTCACCAGGTATTGTATCAGAAGCAGATGTGTGTGTTGACTAATGGTCCTTAAGTGTATCTAAAATATTTTGTTATCTAACTTTTCCTTTTCCAGAATTGTATGATGTCTCAGAAATCAAGAATTATGCTAAGAATAACTATTTCAGTTTTGTGCTAATTCCATCAAATTGCGGTACAGGATCCATTATAGCAAATCCCCAACTATAAAAACACAGTATTTTTGCATTTTCTTCTCTGCTTTCCTCAACTCAGCTTTAAGAAGTATCAATAAATCTTAATTTTAGCTATCAAAATCAGATAAGTGATCCAAAAAGAAGTAAAAAGAATATGTCAGTTAAAAAAAACCTCTAATACCTAAATTAGTAGAGCAAAGGCTGTCTTATACGAAAACCATACAGATGAAGTTAGAAGCATGGAGAAAGGTAGGAGAGAGTAGGGAGTGGGTCTTTGTGTTTTATTTTTGAGCAGAAAGGAAATCTACATAAATATCCATTGATTGTTATAAGAAGGTACCCTGTACCTGTTATATACCTCAAGTTTATAAGCTGTCTACATTTTCAAAACATAAAATTAGCTACATATCTAACAATTAAACCAAAATTAGAAACCACAATCTACCCTTATTAAGAGAATAAAGAAATTTTTATTTCTAAGAAATTACTTATTTGGAATAATACAATATACTTTTAGACTTTTTAAAAGACTATTTAAGTACATATTTCCTAATCATTTTTCGAATTATCCATGCGCAATATGATCTTGAAAGAAAAGCAAAAATAGAAAATAGGAAAGGGAATATGCCAAATGTTAAGTGGGTTTTGAGTTTTTCTTCAACTTTCCAGTACTTTTCTATGCTTGCCAGTGTTTCAGTAATGGCATAATAATTTACAGGGAAGCTAGGCATAATAATTTACAGGGAAGCTATTTCAAGAATTCTCATGTTATGTGCCCAGATTAGATTGTTGAAAAGAATATTTATGCTGCAGGTTTCTTTTAATTTTTAGTGTAAAAGCAGTAGTAGACATTAATGTTACCTTTGACTTTCTATAAATATTCATTTGTGTGAGTTACTCAAGAGACTTTTTTTTTTTAATGAGACAGGGTCTCACTCTGTTGTCCAGACTGGAATTCAGGGATGTGATCATAGCTGACTATAAGCTCAAAACTCCTGGGTTCAAGCAGTCCTCCCACCTCAGCCTCCCAAAGTACTGGAATTACAGGCGTGAGCCAGTACACCTGGTCAGGAAATATGTTAATTTCATATTTAAGAGAGTATAATTTTAATAAAAGAGTATTACAATAACAAATGTTGGTGAGGATGTGGAGAAACTGGAACGCTTGTGCACTGTTGGTGAGAATGTAAAATGGTATAGCTGCTGTGGAAAACAGTATGGCTGTTCCTCGGAAAATGAAAAATGGAATTTACTTACGATCCAGCAATTCTACTTCTGAGTATATACCCAAAAGAATTGAAAGCAGGACCTCAAAGAGATAGTTACATACTCATGTTCATAGCAGCACTATTCACAGCAGCCAAAAGGTAGAAGCAACCCATGTCCATTGTTGGATGACTGGATGAGCAAAATGTGGTATATGCATACAGTAGAATATTATTCAGCCTTAAAAGGGAAGGAAATTCTAACATGCTATGATAACATGGATGAACCTTGAAGACATTGTGCTAAATACTGTATGCTTCCACTTATATGAGGTACTTAAAAGAGTAGTCAAACTCATAGACACAACAAGTAGGAGGGTGGTTGCCAGGGGCTGGGGAAACTGGTGGGAGTTGTTGTTTCATGGGTATAGGGTTTCCGTTTTATAAGATGAAGACAATTATGGAGTTGGATGATAGTAATTGTTGCACAGCATTATGAATATATTTCATACCGGTGAACTGTATGCTTAAAAATTGTTAAGATGATAAATTTTATGTTATGTTTATTTTACTACAGTTACAAAATTGGAGAGAAAAGATTATTACAGCCTTTGTCTTTTTCAGAAAATATGTTTTCCTGAATTTCTGATGACCATCTTGTTTAGAACAGTATATTAGGGATAAAAGTGGATTGAACTAAGATTTACAGTGAAGTTTTCCAGTGTACAAACATATTTTTATATTTATAATCAGTAAATTTATACTTAATCAGCTCTTTTTTCACTTGATATTTTCTCACATCCCAAAACTAATGACTCTTGATCAGGCCACTGGCTTTCACCTAACTGCTCTCACCTGATCCAAACTTGTTTCCCTGCCAACAGTCATTTTTCCCTTCAGTCTAGGATTTACTACGTGTTCAGAGAGATCTTACTACATAAAAACCTAATAATGTTTCTCTCAAACATTATCAGTGGTTTCTAGTGATAGAAGTATAAAATTAAAGGTCTTTCACACCCTAATCTGGATCATGAGCACTTTTCCAGCCTCATCTTTGTGTCTTTTCATCACTGCGGCCCATCCCTCACATTTTTTGTTTTGCTTCTGCTTTGCAAAACTAGTACTTGTGCATCAAAAAGGCACTGTTTTGTTTTGTTTTGTTTTGTTTTTTAATGCCCCCCTAGCAAAGTGCCTGGCACATACAAGTGGTTAATAAATAGTAATTGTTGTGATTTCATGAATAACTTTTTAAGTATGAAGAACCTTCTAAATAAAAATTCCTTCAAAATCTAGAATACCAAGCTAACAGAGTGTCTTTTTTCACTATTTGTAGAGTCTCAGATTTAGTTGTGAGGCAGAAAAAGCCAGTACTGATTTTTATCAGAATAATATTTAAGGTATCTCAGAAGTAACTCAGTGTTTCACTATAGGAGTCGTATCTAAAATAAAAATGTGTGATGGCTGTTAACATTGTGTAACATTTATATAAGAAAAGAATATATTCAAATTTCAGAGATAAGTGTTGACCTAGGTTATTTATTTTTTTCTTTCACTAAGGATGAATAATTATAACAAACTCTCATATGTTTTTATAAAATTGCATTTTATATATTAAATGAAATGCCCCCACTTTGGAAAATCAGTAGCAGTAGCAGTAAGGCACACAGTGGTAAGAAGAGTGCGTTTGTGAAGAAAAAGGCAATGCACTCTTTTGAGGGGATACTTCATTTACGTTAAATGTAAAACAATAAACAGAAACCTGAACACTTGCATAAATTTGTTTACATTTTAATTTTGCTCTATAGACACTGATCTTTCTCTAATTTGACTCTAAAAAGCATCTTATCTGAGTGAACTTTATGTCAGGGTTTTTTTTTTTTAAGTAATGTTATTAGTCAAATATTTATTGAGGCAAAGTAATGTGGGAATACAATATAAGCACCAGACAAACAGGAGATTAAAGAGAATTATAATAATAATGAGTAGTGTATGAAACATTACTACTTGGATAGAAAAAACTTAAATACAAAAATTCTAAATTGGCCTTAAATTATTCCCTGAAGTATATGATTAATAGAACCTGGAAGAATTTGGTATTTGAATGTTTTTGAAGCCATATTTTTGTAATTTTAGCTCTTTAGTCAAGGGCTTTTTCATTCTGACATTCCTTAACCATTCTGTCTTTCCATTTAAAAGAAATGTCTGTGTGATATGTCTTCCTAGGTTTTTTTTGTCCTTTGTATTATGCTCCAATTTGTTTTATACTATATTTCTTAGCCTCCAGATTTATCATGGGACATCACTGAAACCAGTAGTAGGGTCATTTGTGACAACCTAACAATGGTGAACCTAACTATCTTTATATTTAGTTTATGTCTTTCTGAAGGATTTAACAAGTTAATTATATATATTCTAGGTGTGTCACGGGGTCCCAGCCCTGTCAGCCTTGGAAATCAGGATACCTTACCTGTGGCAGTCGCCCTTACAGAATCTGTTAATGCCTACTTTAAAGGAGCAGATCCCACCAAGTTAGTTTTTAAAATATATACATGTATGTGTATGTATGTGTGTTGGGTGAAGGAGGCAGTGGGGCTTGGTGGTAAATTTTAAGAATTACATTTTGATTCTGTGTAGATTACAGTTTTCTGTTATTTATTTACCTGCTTTTTTGCTATCTAATATAGTCATTTAATGATTGCGTTCTGTGTACATTCATTCATCAAATACTTGAGCACCTGTTATTTCTAAGACTCTGTTACATGTGCACTAAGGCTACTTTAGTAAACAAATGAGTTCTCTCCTGAGCTTGCATTATAGTGAGAGAAAACTAAATATCAAAGAAATAGCTGTATTTATTGGGTATTGATACATGCTATTGAAGAAAAATAAACCAGGGTTAGAGGCTAGAGAATAACATTAGATAGAGGGCTACTCTTTTAGATAGAATGATCAGGGAGAACTTTTTTGAAGTTAATTTAAGCAGATAGTTGAAAGACATGGAGGAGCAAGCCATGCAGATATCTGAGGAAAGAGTATTCCAGGAAGAGGGAACCAGTGAGTAAGATACCAAGGTAAAAGCATAATTGGTATATTCAAGAAACAGCAAGGAAAACCATGTCACTGAGTAGGAGTAAACAGGAGGGAGAGTACTTGAAGATGAATCCGGAGAGGTGTGAGACCAGGTTAGGCATTGTAGGCCATGATAAGGAATTTGGAATTTATTTTGAGTAACATGGAAAGCCAATGGAGGCTTTGAGCAGAGGAACGATGAAATTACATGTGTTTTCAAAGGAGCTCTCTGGTTGCTGTATGGAGAATAAACTGAGGCAGAGGGTACAGTGGGCAGTCAGAATAGATGTAGAGAGAAAGTCAGAAGATTAATTACAGAAGACCAGGTGAGAGATAATGGTGGCTTGCATAAGGGTATTAGCAGAGCAGGTGATGAGTAGTAATGAGATTCTGAATATATTCTGAAAACAGAATTGTTAAGATTTGTTGGAGGTAAAATGCTAAGTTTGAAGTTTAAGACATCTTAGTGGAAATGTTGAGTTGATACTTGGATACATGATTCTGGAGTTCAAGGAGTAAGTCTAGACTAGAGATAAAATACTTGGTAGTGTAATTAATTTGTAGATAATACTCAAAGTTACTGGCCTTAAGGAATAGATAGAAAAGAGATCTGAAAACTAAGTCTTGATTTTCTCCAGTGTTTAGAAAACAGGAAAATGAGAATGCTCTAACAAAGGAATTTGAGAGAGCAAGCAGTAAGAGAGATAAGGAGAGAACCAATAGACCCGTGTCTACAAACTAAGTGAATAAATCATTTCTTGAAGGCAGGTGTGAACCTGTATCTGATGCTGCTTGACAGGTCAAGAAAAATTGACCATTGACTATATGGAAAGTCATTAGTGACATTCACAAGAGAGATTTTAGTGGCATAGTGGAGATGAAAGTATGCTTTGAGGGTATTCAGGAGCCGAAGGTGATGCAGTCTAGACAACTATATTTGGAAAGAACAAATGCAATTATTTCAGGATGTTTAGCTCTAAGTGGGAGCAGAGAAATGGAATGGTAGCAGGAGTGAGGTGGTGGAATCAAAGGAGGGTTTTGTTTATTTTCATTTTTGTGTTTTTTAAAAGATACATATTTCAGCATGTCTGCATGCTGATGAGAAAGATCCAGTATTTACGGAAAAAATTGGACCTGCAGAAAAAAGAGGGAACAATCACATGCATGAAGTCCTTCAGTATATAAGAGGAGATGAGTTCCAGTGCAGAATTGCTGAGATTGGCCTGAGGTGCAGAAATTGATTATCTGTTGAAACAGTATGGACTGCATAAGATACGGATAAAAAGTTAGTTAGATTTACTAGTGGGAATATGAGGAAGTTATTTTTTTATTTCATCAGTAAAATTAAGAGCACAGTCATCAGCTAAGAGTTGGGGGAAGGACTATTGCAGGTTAGAGATAAAAGGGGAAGCTAGGAAAAGATCAAAAGAAGAATAAATAGACTTGGGAACGTGATAGGATTACCAAAGGGGTCCAGTTGAGAGTTTTGGCTATGTGGTTATATGTTTCAAAGGAAGAAAGAATAGAGGGTTGGAAGAAGCAATAAGGAACAAGGGGGACATCTACCATCACCATCACCAGGCCCAGTGCTTTTTGGGGTTTGGGAGGGAAAAATAGTTACAACTAGGTATAGCATTATGAGGAAGCAATATCCTTACAAGTCAGGGAATGGTTATCACAAAAAGGTGAAGGAACAATATCAGTGTGCTTGCATTTGTGTTTAGAGTTTAATTCCAGGAAAAGATGATGCTAGATGAGTATAGCATTTCATGTACATAATTTTTAATAATTAAATTGAAAAAAATTTATAATTGTGATAAAGAATATAGATATACACACATATAGGTATGTGTGTGTGCATGGGCACGTGCGCATGCGTGTGCCTTTTTAAACCAAATACTCTTTAAATGGAGATTAGAGTATTTTATTTAAACACTTTTCAAAATCCGTGTTTTAGGTGTATTGTGAAGATCACTGGTGATATGACAATGTCATTTCCAAGTGGAATTATTAAAGTCTTCACCAGCAATCCAACTCCAGCTGTGTTGTGCTTCAGGGTGAAAAATATCAGCAGACTAGAGCAGATTCTTCCAAATGCACAGCTTGTGTTCAGGTTTGTGTACTTTTTGTTTTGAAGGCTGAAATTTCTTTTTAAGATTTTTTTCCTGCCGTGCACAGTGGCTCACACCTGTAATCCCAGCAGTTTGGGAGGCTGAGGCAGGTGGATTGCTTGAGCCCAGGAATTCAAAACCAGCCTGGGCAATGTGGCAAAACCCCATCTCTACCAAAAAAAAAAACAAGAAAAAAAAACACAAGAACAAAAATTAGCTGGGCATGATGATGCGTGCCTATAGTCCCAGCTGCTCAGGAGGCTGAGGTGGGAGAATCGCTTGAGCCTGGGAGGCAGAGGTTGCAGTGAGCCAAGATCATGTCACTGCACTCCAGCCTCGGTGACCGAGCTAGACCCTGTCTCAAAAAAAATGTTTTTTTCCCCTTCTTCGTTGAAATAATAATGTTCAATTTGAAAATCATGCCAAAATTATTCTTACTAAACACCCTTCTGCTGTCTTTTTATTTTGTTTTCAGTGGTGCTAATAGTTATTTTAAGATTCTTTTCTATCTCTCCATCTTCTCATCTTTCAAGCAGGCTTCTCCTGTGTTCCATTTTTCATCCCCTGATGTCATTTTCCTTCATCTCACCTCTTGGTTTATTTCTACTAGTTTTTCCTGGGTCACCAAATTACTACACAGAGGCAAAAAATAAAGATAAATCAATAAAATAACAAATATATTTTTTATACATGTAGTGATCCATCACAATGTGATTCCAACACAAAAGATTTTTGGATGAACATGCAAGCTGTTACTGTCTACCTCAAGAAGCTGTCAGAGCAAAATCCAGCTGCTTCTTATTATAATATAGATGTATTAAAGTATCAGGTGAGTGTCATGTCATTGCAAAAATTCTAAATTAAAATATTAACAAATGGAGTCTAGCATATAATTAAATGAATAAGTATGTCATAGCCAAGTGAGTTTTTCCCCCAGAAATTCAAGGATGTTGTGAAATTAGAATAAGCCAGTGGAGATTTTGACCAGTTTGGTAAAATTCACCATGTATTCATGATTAAAATAACTGAGTAAATATAAATGCATGAATTCGTCCTTAACCAGAAAAGACTAGCAGTGTCAGTCTTAACAGTGAAACTCCCAAAGTAATCAGTTAAAGTTAGGAATGGCAGAGATGCCCATTAGCGTATCCTAATGCCCATTAGTAGATCCTGTTAGTATATAAGAGTTTTCTGGATGTATAAGAGAACAAAATAAGCATTAATAAATACTGGGAAAGAGGAACCAAAATTATTATTGCTTCCAGGTGATATATTCCTCTCAAGAGAACCAACTGAAAAACTGTTTGACATAAGGGCATTTAATATGGTGGTCAGTTTAGAAATTAATACCAAAATTAATAACTTTCAAAGCCAATTAGAAAAACTAGTGGAGAAAAATATTCACAATAAAACAATTAGGAAGAAATACAACGCAATCCCTAGTGACTTGAATATGGGAAGATTCATGCTGTAAAAGTTTAGCTGTTTCTCAATTAACTTATACATTTAATATAATCCTGATCAGAAACCCAGTAGTTATGTCTTTGTGTTTGGAGGCTTGACAGTCATTTTCAGGTTTCTCTGGAAGAATAAAGCTTATGAGAATAAGTCAGGAATTTTTTATTTTAAAGAGATGGAGTCTCATTCTCTTGCTCAGGATGGAGTAGAGTAGCGTGATCATATCTCACTGCAGCCTCAAAACTCCTGGGCTCAAGCAGTCTTCCAGCCTTAGCCTCCCGAGTAACTGGGACTAAAGGCACAAGCCACCGCTCTTGGCAAGAAATGTTTTAAACAGTAAAGTGGAGTAATGTTTTAGCTTTAATGGAAAAGCTTAGTATAAGGCAACAGCATTTAAAATAGTTTGGAACTAACGCAGCAGTAGATGGCCAGATGAAGGAATAGATTAGAGTATCCAGAAATAGATCTAAGAATAAATGGAAAATTGTTTATACAACATAGCATTTCAAGGCAATGTGGACATGATGAATTTTTCAATAAATGATGTTGAGGATAGCAAGCTAGACACTTGAGAAAAAAATTAAGCTGAATCCCTCTTACACTTTTAGCCAAAATAAAATCCATGTGTATCAAAGGTTTAATAATAATAATAATAATTAACCACAAAGGTACTAAAATAAAGTCATGGGTGAAGATACAGTTGACCCTTAAACAACAAGGATCTAAACTATGCAGGTCCACTTATACAAGGATTCTTTTTAACCAAACGCCAGTTGAAAATACGATGATTGTGGGATGCAAAACTCATGTATAAACAGAGGGCCAGCGTTTTCTATATGTGGATTCCACAGGGCCAACTATGGGACTTGAGTATAAACAGATTAGTATATACACAGGGTTCCTGGAACCAACCCCCCCAAGTATGCTGAGAGAGATACTGTATGTGTATCTCTCTGTGTGTGTATATATGTAATACATATTTATTACATATTTTAATCTTGAAGTGCAGAAGACCTAAGTATGATATGAAACCCAGAAGCCATATAAGAAGAGAATGAGATCTTTGATAAATTAATGTGTGTGTGTATAAAGTATTTTGTTAAACCTTTAAACACAGTAAGTATTTAATCTGTGAGAAAAGTATTTATGACACGTAAGATGGACCAAAAGGCTTACCCCAAAGAGCCCTTATAAATTTGTAAGCAACATGTTAATAACTCAATAGATAGATAACCTATGGAAAGATGCTCCATGTTAGTAGTAATGAGAGCAGTAAATACTAAGATAACAATGAGATATCAGTTTTAGCCCATCAGATTTACAAAAATGAAAGATCGCTTTATCCAGTATTTTAGGGTGTGATCACTTGTTAATAGGATGCAAGTAAAACCTCTTAGAAGGCAATCCTGTTAGATTGTTGAAAGATGTAACCTTTAATTCAACAATTCCACTTCCAGGAATCTTCAGAAATACACAATTGGATGAAGATAAGGCACAAAGGATATTCGCTGTAGCATTGTTTAGAAACCACCTAAGCATACACATCAGCAGAGGAAGAAATTAATTACTATAGCCATTAAAAAGAATGACACGGATCTATGTTTGCATATGCCTGAAGAATCTGGAAGGATATATGCCAAAATTCCAAGGGATAAATTTCTTACTTTATATTTCTCTATCGTTTGAGTTTTTAATAGGGTAATTTTATTAAAGTGGCTTATGTTTCTAGAAAATAAATACTGAAAGAATAAAAAAGTGCTGCCACTTAAATTGACTTAAAGTTTCTTACAGGTGTTGATTTATTCAACTGATGTGTATTATTCAGTATATGTAATTGCTGGGAGTAGGACAGGGAGACAGTAAAGATCAGTAATATTCTATGGGCTGGACTTCATTGTTCTCACCTATAATACCAGTACTTTGAGAGGCCGAGGCGAGAAGAGTGCTTGAGTCCAGGAGTTCAAGACCAGTCTGGGCAATATAAAGAAACCCCATCTCTACAAAAAATGTAAAATTATCCGGGTGTGGTGGCACAAACCTGTAGTCCTAACTAGTACGAAGGCTGAGGCGGGAGGATTGCTCGAGCCCAGGAGAGGCTGCAGTGAGCCTTGAGCATGCCACTGCACTCCAGCCTGAGCAACAGAGTGAGACCCTGCCTCAAAATAATAATCATAATATTCTATGTTAGAAAATGAGTGGTATGAAAAAAAGAAAAAGTATGAACTAAGGTAAGAAAGATTGAAAATACAGTTTTCAGTGTAAATTAAAACAGCAGTCAGAGTAGGTCTCCTTAAAAAGGAGCATTTGGACAAGGAGCTTAAGAATTTGAAGGAATTATACCATTTACTGTGAGTCATGTGATTAAACCTTTGAAGTTGGAAGTATTCTAATTCCAGGCTTGTGGTACTATGTAGTGGCGTTTTTTTCTCAGTGTTCTAAATCTGAATTCTTATACTTTATGAAGAATCTTTGAATTCTGTGTTGAATGTTGGAAGATTCGCAAACTTTACATGCATAAATAAGAATTCCTTGATAAAATGCTGATTTCTGTACCCTGTCCCTAAGCTGTTGAATCAGATTTTCTGCAGTTGAAGCTAAGGGAATGATGCATTATAAACAAGCACCACAGCAATTTTGATGTAGGTAGTAGTAGATTCAGACGATGAGAATGACCTTTACTCCTTTGAGAAGGGTCTGCTTCACTCTGCCAACAGATAGTCCCCTCATTAGATAGTTTTGATTCTGTGGACTTACGTGTTCAAGTGTCTGTCATTAACATGACTTGTTAACTTTTCAGGCCAAAACAATTGTTTGTTTTTTTCTCTTTAAAGGTATCATCAAATGGTATTCAGTCCACTCCTCTGAATCTCGCAACATACTGGAAATGTAGTGCTAGCACCACAGATCTTAGAGTGGATTATAAATACAATCCAGAAGCTATGGTGGCACCTAGTGTGCTTTCCAACATACAGGTGGTGGTACCAGTGGATGGAGGAGTAACGAACATGCAGTCCCTTCCCCCTGCAATATGGTAAATTAAACATATGTTTCTGAATTCCCACTAAATTTTTGTTGGAATCCCCAACTTCTAGAACCCAAGTTCTATAAGTTTTCTTAGAAGTTTGAAAAGTTTTAGTGCCTTTTTCCATAGAAACCATGCTGTAAAAGATGCGGTTCATTTTACTAGTCAAACCATAGTAACCTTAATAAAAAATAAACAAAACTAGTTTTCTCTAAGTACCACCCAGACTTGAATGATTCCAAAAAATACAAATAATTATTTTATGGATTAAATATAGCATCTGGCATATCTGTAGGAACAGGAACAGCTATCTAATTAGTGTTTAATAGTATTAGTTATTCCTATCTCTTAGCAGCTTCTCCTGTCCCCTCTGTTAGTATTAGTATAGACTAACCACTCTTTATAGTTGCTTCATCATTTAATAACATGTGTCTTCCTTGACTAATGAAGGTACTGATTCCTATACACATTCCGTTTTACTTTCTCTGACCAATAGGAATGAGAAGAATTACATAATTTGGTAAACTTCCATTAATTGAAAAAGATACAGCATTATATTTATTTATACTATATCATAAACACATTTTCACCAGTTAATACTACTTAAACTTAGCACTATATTTGTTGTAGTGAAAATATTTAAAATACACTTATTTATTGAGGTCCCATCCATCTATCAGGTACTATACTAGATACAAAACCTGAAGATATCTGTTGTTATTGCAGGAATGCAGAACAAATGAAAGCCTTTTGGAAATTGTCCAGTATTTCAGAAAAATCAGAAAATGGAGGTAAGTGTGTGCGTCCTTTTTTGTTTATAAAATGATGTCACTGAAGATGGATTTTTTTTTTTTTTTTTTTGAAGATGGAGTCTAACTTTGTCGCCGGGCTGGAGTGCAGTGACACGATCTCAGCTCACTACAACCTCCACCTCCCAGGTTCAAGCGATTCTTCTGCCTCAGCCTCCCGAGTAGCTGGGACTACAGGCACACACCACCACGCCCAGCTAATTATTGTGTGTGTGTGTGTGTATATGTTTTTGTGTATATACATATATATGTGTGTATATATATATAAACATATATATATAAACACACACATATATATATATTTTTTTTTTAGTAGAGACGGGGTTTCACTATATTACCCAGGATGGTCTCGATCTCCTGACCTTGCGATCCGCCCGCCTTGGCCTCCCAAAGTGCTGGGATTACAGGCCTGAGACACTGCACCCGGCCAAGGGTGCACTGTTCCTGGAAGCACTGCAATACCTTTTTTAAGGGCATGTTCATTTGAAGTTTCCTTCTGGAATTTCATGCCCACAGTTCTAGAACTGACCACTAGGTGGAAGTTAATACCTTTAGTAAGAATGGACCAGCTGAGATTCAGAACACATTTGTTCCTGTAGATTGAGTATGTGTTCTCTGTAAGAAAAAGAATTTCTTTTGCCATAACTTTATAAATATTATGTAAATACCTCTTATACTTACATGCTAACATTAAGAAACAATACCTAGTAAATTTTAAAAAATAGAACTATGTGTTCCATGTAGGTAACCTGATAACTAATTAAAACTGATTTAACACAGTTGAGTTCATTCTGTTAATGGGATTATCCTGACCTCCCAGAAATCATGTAGAAGCTCCCAGGCTTTAAAAAGCTGTTTGCCGTCTCAGCACAGGGGTTCACACTTGTAATCCCAGCACTTTGGGAGGCCGAGGCAGGCGGATCACTTGAAGACAGGAGTTCAAGACCAGCCTAGCCAACATGGTGAAACCCCATCTCGACTAAAAATACAAAAATTAGCTGGACTTGGTGGTGCACGCCTGTAATTCCAGCTACTTGGGGGACTTAAGCATGAGAATCACTTGAACCCAAGGAGGTGGAGGTTGCAGTGAGCTGAGATGGTGCCCCTGCACTCCAGCCTGGGTGATGGAGTGAGACTCTGTCTAAAAAAAAAAAAGAAGCCCCTTTGCCTTCTCCATTTCTCTAAAAGAACCTTTTTCCTGTCCATTTCCCCCTATTAAAGCTAACTGTCAACATCCTTCAATTTTCTGATGATTATTTTAAGGAGAAGCAAGTTATGCTTCTCTCACTAAGTGCATCTGTTTGTGTTCATAATGCCGAGGAAAAGGCTCTGTTAGCTGAACACTTCTGTAACTCAACTTATAATAAGGATGTAATTCTCAGGACAGCCAAGTCTTTAACATTAGATAGTCTTATTTTTTCTTAATCAAAAGAGAATTCTTCTGCCTTCTTTTGAATGTATAATTTTAGTCTACAATAACTTTTCTGCTTGTTGTTTTCGTTTTTTTCTTCTTTTCTTTTTTTTTTTTTTAAATGGAGCCTCGCTCTGTTGCCCAGGCTGGAGTGCAGTGGCACGATCTTGGCTTACTGCAAGCTCCGCCTCCCAGGTTCAAGTGATTCTCCTGCCTCAGCCTCCCGAGTGTCTGGGGTTACAGGCGCCTACCACCACACCCGGTTACTTTTTGTGTGTTTAGTAGAGACGGGGTTTCACCATGTTGGCCAGACTGGTCTTGAACTCCTGATCTCAGGTGATCTGCCAGCTTTGGCCTCCCAAAGTGCTGGAATTACAGGCGTGAGCCACCGTGCCCAGTCTAGTCGCCAGTAGCTTCTCTATTTGATAGGTTTTTTTGGTTTTTCAAATATTGCTGAGCTTTTTCTTTTTGAATATTTTGAGCATAATATCATCAAAATATAAAACATATCAGTAGCTTTTATCATAGATATTTCTGTATAAAGGACCATAAACGTATCAGTGTTGTTTATTCATTTATACCTGCCATGCTGAATAAGACTTTTACTAGAGAGCCATACATTGGGTGAAATAACCAAGCAAATGTGCAGTTTCTTTTTTGCTGTTTGGTACTTACAGGTTGCCCATTTTCAGCTGGCCAACTGCATTGACTTTAACCCTAGCTATTAATATATAGCTTTTTGTGAGCTAAGCTGAAATTCCTAGTTTAAATTGAAGTAAACCAGCAATCCTATTTGCATTAAGGGCTTATAACCAGTTTAGAAAAACAAAAGCATCTTTTTCCCCAATATAGTGAAACTATACTATTGTAAATAATTACCAAGAAAGAAATTTGTTCTCTCAAAAATAAGACACAAGCTGGGTGCAGTGGCTCATGCCTGTAATCCCAGCACTTTGGGAGGCCGAGGTGGGCAGATCGTGAGGTCAAGAGATCAAGACCATCCTGGCCAACATGGTGAAACCCCGTCTCTACTAAAAATACAAAAATTAGCTGAATGTGGTAGCACGTGCCTGTGGTGTCAGCGACTCAGGAGGCTGAGGCAGGAGAATCATTTGAACCCGGGAGGCGGAGGTTCCAGTGAGCTGAGATCATGCCACTGCACTCCAGCCTGGTGCAGAGTGAGACTCTGTCTCAAAAAAATAAGACACAAATTTTCTAACCAGATTTTAAGTTTCCCTCTGCTATTCAGGTATCAGGTGTTTCTGTGAGGAAATGGAAAAATCTTATAAACGCGGTTTTTGATGTGGTTAGTCAAGCCTTTAAAAAGAAATATCCAAGGCCAGGCATGTTGGCTCATGCCTGCGATCTCAGCACTTTGGGAGGCTGAGGCAGGTGGATCATTTGAGGCCGGGAGTTGGAGACCAGCCTAGACAACATGGCGAAACCCTGTCTCTACTAAAAATACAAAAATTAGCCGAGTATGGTGGCACGTGTCTGTAGTCTCAGTTTCTCAGGAGGCTGAGGCACGAGACTAGCTTGAACCTGGGAGGCAGAGGTTTCAGTGAGCCAAGATTGTACCACTGTATTCCAGCTTGGGCCTTAGAGGGAGACTCTGTCTCAAAAAATAAATAAATAAATATCTAAATAAGAATGCTATAAAATAGGCTGGGCGTGATGGCTCACGCCTGAAATCCCAGCACTTTGGGAGGCTGAGGCGAGTGGATCATGACATCAGGAGTTCAAGACAAGCCTGACCAATATGGTGAAACCCCATCTCTACTAAAAATACAAAAATTAGCCGGGCATGGTGGTGTACGCCTGTAATCCCAGATACTCGGGAGGCTGAGGCAGGAGAATCGCTTGAACCCGGGAGGCGGAGGTTGCAGTGAGCCAAGATTGTGCTACTGCACTCCAGCCTGGGTGACAGAGTGAGACTCTTGTCTCAAAAAAAAAATTTCTGTAAAATAGAAATCTGTTTTCTGTTGCTAACTGTGTACTCAGAAGAGGTACAATAAATATTTCTAAGGTGATTGTCAAGGTTCTTGCTGTTGGCCTATGGTAGAACTTTTGCACAACCGAATTGCTTATCAAGAATTGTAGAAGTTTGAGGGCCTGGACGGTAATTAAGAATAAGGCAGCAGTTCATCTCCACTACTGATCTGCACCTCCAGGCATAATAATACAAATTGGATCAATGTTGCGACACCTTATTCTCCATTTCCCTGTGTAGTGTTAAACTTTTCTGTGCAAGGGATCACAGGATCTTACTGCTAGTACCTACCATTTCTGTCCATTTGCTCTACCCAGAAACCTGGGAACCCTCCTAGACTCCTCCTTTCTCATTTCTTGATGCCAACTCCTAAATATCTTCCAAATAACTTTCTTAATATCTTTCCTTTTTATTAGCCCTAGTTTAGGTCCCCCTTTTCTATCATCTAGAGTCCCAAACTGTTTTGACTTGCATCTTGTGCTTCTCTTCGTTTTTGAGACACTAATCTGAAATGTTCTTGTCTTCCTTATCTTTGGTTATTTCCAATGGTTACATCATGAATTTCTTACCATGGTCTGGCTAGTGCTACCACTCTAGTCTCATCTGCCACTCCCCTCTACCTGTATCCTGTTCTCCAGCTAATCTGATATAGATGCTATTTCCTTAAATGCATCATGCTCTGTCTGTCTCTCTATCTTTGGTAACTTCTGCCTAAAATACACACCATCATCCCCACCACCATTTATAATTTTCAGCTGAGATAGGTGCCTTTGTGCCTGTGGCTCCTTAGAGCTCCTTTAAAGCATTTATAATATTCATTATAATTATTGGTTTACTGTTCCTACCATTCCATTAGACTGAGGTATACTGAATAAATGGTGATGATATCAGAAACAGAACACCTCAGAACTACCTACTTGGCATTATGTTAGACCAATACAATTTTAAAAAGAAAAGTGAATAGAAAATAGCAATGTTATACAACTTTTCCCAAACATAGTTACCTTTCCATCTTTACTTCTTCCACTACTCAGTAGTCATTTCTTTTTTAACTTTATGCCACCTATATCCCTCCTAGGGTTTTTCTCTGGGCTGTCCTCAATTACTTCCATCTTCTCTTTTGACTTGCCTCAACATGCATATAGCATAGGAGTCCAGTAGTAAACATCTCTGAAGATTAGTATTGAGTAAAGGAAAAGCATGGGTTATTTACTTAATGAAAATTCATATTCACTAAAATATATGTGATTTGGAAACAGGATAATGATTTGTTTACTGTGCACATCTAATGAATGTAGCACAGGACTGATGTAGTTTAGCTTACTTGCTCATTTGATTCTATTTTGTGTAAAATGTATTTTACCCAGTGTAAGTGCTTTATTCTTTTCTTTGTAGGTTCTGGGTCCCTCCGAGCAAAATTTGATCTTTCAGAAGGACCTAGTAAACCCATGACACTTGCAGTGCAATTCCTCAGCGAGGGAAGTACCCTTTCAGGAGTAGATTTCGAACTTATAGGCACTGGCTATAGACTTTCCTTAATAAAGAAGCGGTTTGCTACTGGTAAGTTAGGAGATTTCAAACTTTTTAATGTACATGGGAAACATTTGTATTCTAACAGTTACTGAAAAACTGTTAAGCAATTTATAATCTAAAGACATGGAAACTTTTTCTTTAACCCTTGGTACAAGGTGCCAGGTAGAGACACACCTGAGAGAGAGTACTTATAGTCAGTATAGCTGAACACCTGTTATCTGATTCTAATGTATTGTAAATAGCAGATGGGAACTAGAGTTTTGTATTGGTAACCACAGTGGAAAATGTCCTTAGAGTGCATTTGAAATTGTAATTGCAAAGGTCTGCTTGGTGTTTTTCAGGACGATACCTGGCGGATTGTTGATGGACCTGGGAAAGTGGTTTGGCTTCAGAGAGTGCAAACCTGGCATTCTGCATTATCTGTTCTTTCCAAACACTATTTTAACTTGTATGATGTCTTTCAAACTTAGACATATTTGAGAGCTGACTACAAACATTAAGTCGCACTTTTAAAGTGAGTCATTGAAAGAAATAGTACTGAAATGATTCTCTATGTTGTAAATGATCAACTGCAATATTCAGGAAGCACATTTATTCAGATTCTCAGTAAAAATGAAGTTTTTGTAGGCTTAATTTTTAAATTATTTCCAGTGTCTATGTTGAAAAAAGGGGTTATAGTGTAATTGTAGGCCTAAAATTTCAGGAGAGCAAGCACAAAGTAATTTAGCTTTCCATAAATTTTTAGAGTCAGAGATAACTTTGAAATTTCATAAGTTTGATATTCAGTGTATACAAATAGAACACGAATTCCAAGTTTTGGGTAATGTTAACTCAGAACACTCAATCAAATTGAGTTATGTGCCATAAGGTAATCAGACCAGAGTCCAAGTTGTATGCAAAAAATCTATAATTTGATTCTCATAAACATTAATAAAGTGTAAGTGATGTTTTATATGATTTTTTAAAAAATTCTCAAGTGCAATGTGTTTTAAAATAAGCTTGCAAATGACAGCAGAGACATTTACTTCTGCAGTTAGTTAACTTTATAGAAGTTGTGATTTTTTTGATGATTTAATGCTGTAGATTTAATTTATTTTTATATGGAATTGCATAATGTGTGCCTTTTAAAACAATAACAAAAGCCAGAGATGTGCCTATACAGTTTGTGTTCATTAATGTGCCTCACTTTTTCTCAGTCTGAATCTTCTGTTCAGAATCTTACAATGATCAAGCATTTTTATAAGATACTTGCAATTTTTGTAAATATTTTTGGCCTGCAACTGGGAAGGGAATTCAGAGTCATAAAGCGTAACTTAAGAATCCTGGCTCACTTCTTTGGTGATACACTGTAGCCACTAGAAAGAGAAATATAAACCCAATGGCATGTGTTTACAGGAAGAAAAATTACCTTCAGATACTTGACATTAACCTCATCAAAAGTGTGTGAATTTTAAAACAAGTTCTAAAAAACTATAGTGCTAAATTGGTAACTGGTATTTTAACTCTCAATTTAGCATTTTCCTTGACACTTTATCGTTGAAAATTTATGCATGTATTTACTGATTGTGTTGTGAACATGAGTTTTATGGTATTTTTTGAGGAATGCATTTTTTAAAAGATTAATTTTAGAGACAGAAGGAGAAGCACTGCCATTTGTTTTTATTTCAACAATTGGAAAAATTACCAATATGTACATTTTAATTATTCAGTTTCTACTTCATAAAAGTAGGAAAATTATTTGAAGTGATGTATTTGGTTAAACATTTCTAAAAATAAACTACCAGTACTAAATAGTAAGAAACCTAACTTTAATAGCAAATCTTGATGAATTGAAGAAATAAAATATTTTGGATGAGGCTTCATAATTTACAAATGGGAATTTCATTTATAATAATAAATACGAGTGTCCTTTATTTGCCTAGTAGAAGTGATAAATTGTGTTATATACGATAATTTATATAAAACCACTAATTGTTCCGTTAAGCTTCACAGAAAATAAAACCTCTATTACTAGTCATTTATGTAACATCTTGCTATACTAAATACAGCAGAAAATCTACTCTTTAGCAACATATAACACAGTATGTGCTTTTTAATATATTCAATGTTAGCCCAAGTCTGAATTTAGATTTGACTAAAGCAGCACATAATTTGCTAAAACGCTGATCTTTACTAAATAGTGAGCAAAATTAGAATTTCTAACTCTTATTTTATGCTCTTTTAAATGCCAATTACAGTCCCTTACTGGAATTCTAACTGTAATCTGCTTCGCAATCAAACTGCTTTGATTGGGCAGTCAATATTTTATTATTAGAATTCAGACACTGTTCTTACCGTGTTTGTTTTTAATCAAGTATTACCTAAAAATGTACAAATTAGTGAAATGGTTAAACTTCTGCACTTTCTTAATTACCACAGTCTTCATACCAAGTATTGAGTACAGGTTACAATTTTGAAGCCATATGAGTTTATATTGATTTTTTTTTTTTTTCATTTAAAAATCCACTAATGGTGTGAAAGAGACCAGTAGATTTTCAATGGGAAATGTACCTAGCAAGCTGGTTCTTGCTTATGTATAGTGATAAACTTTGTAGCTGCCTCTTTAACCAAGAATTTGTAAACATAACTCTAACAAATGTGAGTTTTTAAGGATTGTTATTTACTACTTTGGATTGTAATTAGAACAATGCACATCTGTCTTCCAAGATTTTGTAAATATTTTTGATTTTTTTCATTAAATGTAAATTTTACATAAAAGTTGTGCTCTTAATAAACATGTAATATATAATTTATCAGTTGATCTATGTGTCTTTGTACTTGATAGTAATAGCTATGTCATCGATGTTAGGACAAGGCAAGCTGGCCAAGTAATTGGTTTTTAACTTTGTACTACTGTTTGAACAGACATACAGAGAGAACTGTTATTTATTGGTTATATAGAAAACTTCATTTGGAGTATATCCCAAAAGTGTCAAAATTGGTTAACAAGGGATTATTTTTAATATATTTTAAGATATATTTAAATTGATGTTAAATTTTAGCAAAGACTTTCTTCCTAACCAATTGCTCAGGAACACAGTCTCAGACAGTTCAAAAATCATAGTGTTCCAAAGAATTAGTTAAGACAAGCCTGCCAAAACAGTAGATTTAGGAAGGAGCAAAAGAAGGAAATTAGAAAAGAAAGAATTTATCCTAACTATTGAAAATTTTGGGCTGGGTGTGGTGGCACATGACTGTAATCCCAGCACTTTGGAAGGCCAAGGTGGGCAGATCACATGAGGTCAGGAGTTCAAGATCAGCCTGGCCAGCATGGTGAAACCCTGACTACCAAAAAATACAAAAATTAGCTGGGCATGGTGGTGTATGCCTGTAGTCCCAGCTACTCGGGAGGCTGAGGTAGGAGAATTGCTTGAACATGGGAGGTGGAAGTTGCAATGAGCCAAGATTGTACCACAGCACTCCAGCTTGAGTGACCAAGTGAGACCCTGTCTCAAAAAAAGAAAAAAAAATTGCCAATCTGTGTTAGAAAAGGAACAGCTTAATTTATCTAGGTAGGCCAGGGCAGAGGAACCTGTAGAAAGGCCAGATAGCACTCACCATTCATACCATATGCCCATCATTGTTTTCTTCCTTTTTCTCCTTCATCCCATTCCCACCTCTGTTAGACTAAATGATGCTAGCTGCTGCAATAACTAAACACAATACTTCCTACATTGCTCTTATCACAGTCATAAGTAGGTTTGAGGAGGAGTTCTCCATATAGTAATTCAGGGACCCAGGCTCTTTCCATTCTGTGATTCTGCTTAAAATCTTTATCTGCTGGCCAGCAAAAGATTAGATGGGAGTTTTTATGGGCCAGGCCCAGAATTGGCATCATCACTTCTGACCATATTCCATGAGCCAGGATTTGATCTTGTGGCTCCAATCAACTGCAAACAAAGATGGGAAATGTAGTTTGGTTTTGTGTCCAGGAAGAAAACAGGGTTTCGATAAACATAGAGTAACCCTCTGCTATGTACCCCACCCCTTCTCCATTTTGTTATTTTCTTTGTTCCATTTTCCTAATGTGCATTTAATGGTTTCAGTGGCTCTCAGTATTAAACGTTTTTCCATGACTTCTTACTATATGTATGTATTTTATCCATATTTTAAAATAATTGTTTCCATACTCTTCCTAATGATCGTTTCTGAATGAACATTTGTGATAACTCATTGGTTATCTTTTTAGCATGAGTGTTTTATCTGTCAGTAATGTTTTTAGCCTCAAGTAACAGAAACAGAACTAAGAATGGTTTAAACCAGCAGCACCAACCTTTTTGGCACCAGGGACCTGTTCTGTGGAAGACAGTTTTTCCATGGTTGAGGTGGTGTGGGGAGATAGTTTAAGGATGAAACTGTTCTACTCAGATCATCAGTCATTAGTTAGATTCTCATAAGGAGCGGATGAAACTGTTCTACTCAGATCATCAGTCATTAGTTAGATTCTCATAAGGAGCGGATGAAACTGTTCTACTCAGATCATCAGTCATTAGTTAGATTCTCATAAGGAGCGGATGAAACTGTTCTACTCAGATCATCAGTCATTAGTTAGATTCTCATAAGGAGCGTACAACTTAGATCCCTCACATGCGCAGTTCACCATAGGGTTCACGTTCCCATCAGAATCTAAGGCTGCCGCCGATCCGCCAGGAGGCAGAGCTCAGGCAGTAATGCTCGCTCACCTCCTGCTGTGCAAGCTGGTTCCTAACAGGCCACAGACCACTCCAGTCCATGGTCTGGAAATTGGGGTCCCCTGGTTTAAACAAAGACATATTTTTTTCATATCACAGTGCAAGTTACCTCTTGTTGTCATTGGCCAAAACAAGTCATTCAGCCTTTCTTTATGGTTGGAGTATGGCAGCCATAGCTCGACTGTATGTTTACATCCACAGTTAGGAGGGACAGTTCAGTATGCCTGTCTGTTTTTTGTACGAAGAGTAAAAGCTTTTCCAGAAGCTCCCAGCACATTTCTGTTTACATTCTGTTGGCCAGAATTATGTAAGACAGGCAGAGAAAACAAGTAGCCTTCGTAATGAAGGTGGGTAAAGGAGAAGGGGCTAGGAATGACCGCAAGTGAGCTGGCCAGCAGTCAGACACACAATTTCTGCTGGTACAAGCAAGTTTCCATATAGTATATTGCCAAGCAACTCTGCACCTATCCCAATCAACTTTTTAATCCATTTTTTAAACTGTGAACTCAGCAATGAGCAGGATGAACTTTAAGTATTCAACTTTTTGTCTTTAGGAATGGTAATCCGGTATAGCCTTTCTGACAACAATTTGAATCCAAAGCCTTTAAAAATTTTTTAAAATCTATGTGTCATGTAAACTAGTAATTCACTTGGGAATTTGTCCTAAGAAAATAATGAGACATAAGCACAATTATGTATGCAAAGATGTTTATTGCAACATTGTTTATAGTATGACAAAATTGAGAGGGTTGGCTGAGTTGATAACTCCCGTATGGTGAAATACTATGTGGCTTTGAAAAGTAATTGTGAAGATCCACAGTCACTGATATTGAGATCCTGCCACAATATTATTAAATGGTGAAAAGTAATATGCCATTTTTGTTTTTAAAAGCGCATGCATCAGGCCGGGCACAGTGGCTCATGCCTGTAATCCCAGCACTTTGGGAGGCCAAGGTGGGCAGGTCATTTGAGGTTAGGAGTTCAAGACCAGCCTGGCCAACATGGTGAAATCCCATCTCTACCAAAATCACAAAAATTAGCCGGGCATGGTGGCGCATGCCTGTAATCCCAGCTACTCAGGAGGCTGAGGCAGGAGAATCACTTGAACCCATGAGATGGAGGCTGCAGTGAGCCAAGATCAGTGCCGCTGCACTCCAGCCTGAACAACAGAGTGAGACTCCATCTCAAAAAAAAAAAAAAAAAAAAGCATACATCTAGAGCAAAAATTTTTGCAAAAGCATTCACCAAGCTGTTATAAGTGGTGGGATTTTTATTTTTAACAATATGTTCGGTGTTATCTAAATTTTTAAATAATTAATACATATTACATCTACAATTATAAACTATGTATTTTGAAAAATAGTTGCATAAATAGAGTGCAAGTTGAACTTTCTGTTGATGCACAAAGATCTCTTCACATAAGGATCTTCTTATTTTGATTATTGCCTTGCCCTTACGTGATCCTACCAATATAGCCAGGTTTTTTGGTTGGTTGGTTTTGTTAATGTATGAAGTAGATTCCTGATTTAATTTTTATTCTTTTTGGTGTCAAAGCCAAATGTCATATTTTGTTTTCCCTAAGTGAATACAGGATCAGTTCTTTTTTTCTAGGAATATATTTTGCCCAAATTACTCTCTTAAGAAAAGCGTCGGCCAGGTGCGGTAGCTCACGCCTATAATTCTAGCACTCTGGGAAGCTGAGGTCGGCGGATTGCCTGAGCTCAGGAGTTCGAGACCAGCCTGGCCAACATGGAGAAACCCTTTCTCTACAAAAAATACAAAAACCTAGCTGGGCGTGCTGACGCAGGCCTATAGTCCCAGCTACTCCAGAGACTGAGGCACGAGAATCACTTTCACCCAGGAGGCAGAGGTTGCAGTGAGCCGAGATCATGCCACTTCACTACAGCCTGGGTGACAGAACAAGGCTCTATCTCAAAAAAAAGAAAAAAAAGAAAAATGTGATCCAGAGAAGTGACAGAGGGTAGCTTTTGGCAAAATTAAGAGCCTTTTAAGTTCAGAACCTTAATGTCATCACATACTCAATGAATAGTGACTGTTTACACCATTGAAATTCACAAAAAAAGTAACCTAAAGAGTGATGAGCCTGCAACAAAGATTAGGTTATTTGGTTTTTCCACCTTTTGTCAATAAAATATTTCCATTAGTTGGGAAACTTACTGAGTGAATTTCAAATTTTTCAGAAGTGTAAAGGCATACTTTGAAACCATCTTCATGCTATTTGTGTGAAGCATATTTCAGTATGAGAGGCAACCAGGGTACCTGCTTGAGGTAAGGTGACCTTTAAGGTTGGTGATTGACTGTATACATCAGAATCATAATCCTGTCAGTGCAAAATTGCAGTTGCTTGCTTTACTTCCTTTTGGCCTGAGTTGATGGCACCCACAATATTTAGAAGTTCTGGGATCTTTGACCCCAGGCACCTCTCCACTCAGAGATGGAGAGTCCCCTCGAGGTACCAGCTCATTAGGAGGAAGTCAGTGAGTAATTCACAATTTAAACATTTCACACATCTGCAAAGTAACTATGATCAGTAATGACCTCTTTCCCACCCAGTTTTTCAGGATGTACGGGGCTTCGAAGGCAAACACAGAAGCCCAGGTTCTTTTCTTTAAGAGGGCTTACAATGATGGACTGCATGTATGACGGCGGTCCCAGACTGTATATCTCTAATACAAAAGTTAAAATCTAAAACTATAGCCAAAATAATTACTTAAAGGATACACAATAAAAAATGTGAATTTTTTATTGAACAAAATGTGGAGTTGGGAATAAAATGCTTTTTTTTTTTTTGTATGTAATAAGATCAAGTTGTTTTCAGCTTAAAAAGCAGGAGGGCATTACAAATTAGATTCATATATTTGACCAGATTTTTTTTTCTCCTGAAAGAAAACAAGTCATACGAAATATGTGAAACATAGAGGATTGCTAATAACTACTAAAAATAGAAATTTGGTTTGTAGGTAGACTATGAGAAAGACAAGACATACCTATGTGCTTCCTGAAATCTTTGGGCAGCACATATTATGTGGGAATTTTAAAAT